GATCATTTTTGGTGTAATGAAACTGCTGTATGCCTTGGATGCGCCTCTTCGCAATCACTTCTCTATGCTAGTAAAGTCGCTTGACATCTATCACCTGGTACCTAGGTGCGTCTGTAATTACAGTGGTGTTAGAAATGAGAAACAGGTTGCAGGATGGCTTGTATTGACCTTGATTTTTAACAACAGTATAGGTACAGATGGTGTCTTAGTGTAAACCTCTCTTTTCTGAGCCTCTGGCTGGATTGAAATGTTAGTTTGAGAATTCTTTGAGGATTCCCCCCCCCCCTTTTCTGAAGCTTCTTTTACAAACGCATCGCGAACATGTCTTTTTTATGTCATTTATGCAGACTGTATGCTTAGACCTACTAAAAGTGTGCAAAAATCAAGAACCAATGAATGTATCACAAAGTGTATCATGTGTCTTGGGTTCTTGGTACTGAATAGTCTGAAGGTCATTTCATTATGCATTATTATTTTATTTTTTTTTCTTCCTATTTTGGATGTATGATGGGCTTGTACAGGGTCTGTCATGGAGCATTTACAAGTGTGATTACTTTTGCCCCCAAAGTTTAATCATTTCTTACAACCTACTTAACCAAGGGAGCCATGCATGGGTCCTGATATACACACATATATATCATTCTACACTCTCTATATTATTGTTATTTTTCATGTCTAAAAGAGCTGTGTTAGTATTTAATTAGTGTATGCCTTTTCTTATTGAAGAGATTTATGTCTAGTCATATCAAAGAAATCCATTTATTTGGGATGATGTGACTATCATGTGATGTTGTGGTTGGAGGGTATTGATGACCTTTTCACTTGGGTTTTTTTTAGGGTTATCCTGAGATTTGTGGCCTCTTCTTGGTTTCAAGCCTGGGGCCTTTACTAGATTATCTCTTTCATCAATTCATCCAGTTTGATAAAGAATTATTGTCCTCTTCAAATGTACATTATGAATTCATCCTTTTTACAAAATGTTCTCTGTTGTCGTACGGCCACCTACTTTGGACCATTATATTAACTTATTTTTTTGTTTGTTCCTTGCAGGGAGAGTTAGGTACAAATTTGCATCATTTTGGAACAGGAATCATGCCTTGAAGATATTGCAACGTTCTGCAAAAAAATTTCTTTTGATGCTAGAGGCTGAAAAGAAGGTTGTTATCTGTTGAATCTTTCTTTAAATTGTGCCTTTATTAGCGGTTAGTAGAATAGATCCATCCACCCTTAAATTTTTCTTTAAAAGAAACTATGCAGTGTGATTTTAAAGTGGAGGTCATTTAGCTTGTGTATGAACTTTGAAGATATGAAGGAAACAGAATGTGGGGTTTTTTGGAGGGAATTTTCCCTCATTAACATACTCATTTTCAGCCTGTATTGGAAATAATAAATTTGTTTTGTATATCCCCAAAATCATTCATGACATCATCATATCATATTAATTAATTTTGTACTCTTCATCTACCTAATGCCATTATGATCAACTTGCTGAACAGGCTAAGGCACTATCAGAACTTCGTGCACATAGAAGTTCAAAACGGACAGGTCAACCGATGCCTAAAGTTCTTGAAGAAATTATACCAAAGACTGATAAGTTTCAGCCATTTGTCAAGGATGAAGTGCTTGTTAGTATATATAATGTATGGACAACACATCTTTTCCAAGTACACATGTAATTTGTTTTTTTTTTAGTATCTGTATTGCATGCAATTCTGCTAAATGTTTGAACTTTTTCTCAGGATAAATTTCCATGCACAGCTGAACAATTTTTTAATTTATTGTTGAGTGATGATTCAAACTATATAAATGACTATCGTTCAGCACGGAAGGATTCTAATCTTAGTGTAAGTACAATTTATTGATTCCTTTTTGTCAGTAACTGCTGCTTGTTGAACCTTATTATTCACTTGCTAATATTTTACAAAGTTAAGTAAAATGTATCTTTAATTTTTCTTCTGTTCAGAAGCAGTGTTCCCAGTAATCTGCCTGCCACATCTTGAAGCATATTTCTGGACGCCTCTCTTATGTGATTTACTATGGAATTATGCTATTTTGTGCTCATCTAGAAGACACTTTGTCTTCTTGCTGTATTTCTCTTCATTTGGTCTTAATTACATATATTGTCTGATAGAGAAATAAAGGGAATTCAAGTCTGGCGATGAGCAAAAGTTTAGATAGTGTTCTGATTGAGATTTTATAATGAAGACCTAGATTGTTTCTAATGTGAATTTAGGGATAATGTCTTCAACGTTTAGCACCACTTGAATTGCATATAGTAGACAATAATTTACATTGGCTATAGAGCACAGTAAGCCTCATTGTTTCAGTAGCATAAAATAATCTGGATTATGTTCCTTTGCTGCAGTAGCTACTAGTAAGTCGTTTTCTTTGCCAAACTTAATTGTTTTAGCTTACAGATATTGAGTAAACATTTTCTTAGAGAATGATTTGTCTTAATTTGAATTGAAGAAAAATATTTTTTTGTAACAAGATGCTTACCTTTGTTTCTGTTTCTTATGAAGTTCTCACCCTTGAATGTGTGACCTGTTCATCATAATTTAAGTTTTGTGCAAAACTGAGTAGATTTTGTCCTTTCTAAAGTTTATTGAGAGTAGTTTTCCTGTTCAGTGTTTTGAATATGATATGCATCTGTTTCACTGTTTCAGATAGGGCAGTGGCATTCAACAGACGAGTACGAGGGTTTAGTTAGAGAAATGACTTTTCGCTCTATATGCAAGAGCCCTATGTGCCCCCCAGACACGGCAATGACAGAGTGGCAGCATGTAGTTTTATCACCAGACAAGACAGTATTGGTATGACTTTGTACATCTTAACCTACTTTATTGAGACTTCTTTGTTTTGTTCCTACTTTTGGGCTGATCGGTGTACATAATTTTGACCCTAGGTGTTTGAAACAGTACAACAAGCACATGATGTCCCATTCGGGTCTTATTTTGAGGTATGCTGCTTCTGAGTCATTATTGCATTTACAATTTTTCCAATTGATATAAATACTAATCATGCAGCAAGGCTTAAAAAAAAAATATTAATTTAGTCCTATGTTTGGCATTTTTAATAGGTGCACTGTAGGTGGCGTCTTGAAACTTGTTCTGAGTCATCTTCTACCATAGACGTAAAAGCTGGTAATTCTTTTTCTTCTTTTCTTTTCCGCTAACTTTTATTTTGTTTGGTTGTGTAGTACAGCATAACATTTGTCTGATTTGCTTTCTGTGATTCTGTTTACCATGATACTTGAATTAACAAATTGAATGATGCTGTTCCTTGCAAGTCTTCAGTGATTTCAATTTTGTTAACCTGATTGCTTCTATATTTTCTCTTACTTTTGTTGGTGACGGCTGTTAATTTATATCATCCCTTACCCTACTTTTCTCTTTAACTCTTGTAGTGCATGCTAATTTTTATATATTCTTGGAGCTTTTCATTATGCTAAATATAGATTTACTTTGTACAAGGTTTTAAAGAACCTGACTACTATTGGCAATTGTTTTAGGATATATCTGATTTATAATATGCAATTAACAGTTATTAGGCCCTATCTATTTTGCTTTAATTTTGTTGGACTAATTATTATTACATTAAAACTGATTTAAATGATTCATAATTATTTTTCCGGTTTCCCTTAGTTATTTGTTTGTCGGCGATATAGATCCTGAATTTTACTGGTTTTGAAATATTTTAGCTGGTTAAAACTTATTTTTACTAATGAATTCGTCTTAAAGCAAAGGAAGTCAGGGCAATATTGCTATGTTAAACAATTTCTGCCCCCTTTTACATTTTGTTGTTTTTCTTATCCATTCTTCCTTCTAAAAGTGCCTTGCTGCTGGTTTCACTTTCCAGGAGTGAGACTTTATGCATCTAGAGCTTTGTGAAATTATTTAAATGGTGCTATTAGTTTGCAGCTGATATTCTGTTCTGCTTTGGCTTATGTTTTTGATTGAAGTTTCTTTCATTTTAAACACTGTATTGCTGATAATTTTACTAGTTACATTTATGCTCTCATCTTTTATAGGTGCTCACTTTAAGAAATGGTGTGTCATGCAATCTAAAATTAAGTCTGGGGCCATTGATGAGGTGCATCTCCTCTCCTTATGTTTTCTCTCTCTTGAAAAGCAGATAGCTTGGTTTGATGCAGAGATTGTAATGAAACTTAAATTTAATTTTTGAGTTGTTTTCATGCAGTACAAACGAGAGGTGCGCATGATGCTAGATGCAGCTTGCTCTTACATTAATTCTAGGAATAGTACCAATGCTGATGACAGTGTCCAAATGGCTTCTGATTTACAAGAAAGTGCGTGACTGGAAGCAATTCTACTTCACTAGTTTCTTCAGTTTTGGTCTCAAGATATGGTGCAGCACTGCAGCTCTGTTCATAGCTTATATTTATACCATTGTTCATCCCTTTTCTACATTCGCTCGCTGTCATAATTGTTCATTGTTTTTCCATGTAAGGTTTTGTTGGATATAGCATTATAGTTGTGAATTCGCCCTGATCCCTTAGCAATAAAGCTAATGGTGGTGGTGGTGGTGGTGGTAGCCCGTGTTGTACGTAGTATGAAGAATAATTATTCTGTTGTAATTAGGCTGCAGCATGTTACTAAGAAGTTATTTCATTTATACATTTATAAAAAGCCGTGTATTTTGTTTTGCAATTTTTGTTTTTTCATTTTTTTTTGAACACTGAGCAAAGACTAGTTTTGTTTTCATGCCATATTGGTCAATGACAACAAAGAGATTGAATCATTCAAGATAGCAATCGATTGTCTAAGTAGTCCAATTTTCACATTATCATGTTGGATAAATTACAGATATGGTTTCCTTCACCAAAATTCACCAATACAGCATTACTGCTCATTCATAAATCAGCCTTCATAGCCTCCCAAAAACAACCAATATTTTGAGCCTTCAATTTTGTTAGTATTTATTTACTTTTGTTATGTATATTTTTTTATAAATGAAAAATGATAAGATATGTTTCCAAATTCGTCAAGCTGAACCATATATGTCAAAATAAATTATTTAGTAACAGACAGCCAATGGTGTCCATGTATTCTGTAGTTACCATGTACAAATGGAAAAAAAAAAAAAAAAAAAGAGAAAAAAGAAGGAAAAAATGATATAATTTACAGTTTAGGCAGAATGATTGTGCTTAATTGAATACAGTTAGATTGTTGATTCTGCTAAATCTTTGATGTACCACAATATATATACAGCAAAGATGTATGTAAGTTGTAACTACAACACCTAAAACTACAATTTACCAAACAAAATATGTACAAGGTCACGTTTTTTAGCACATCATTGATGATTTACCAGCACTAAGGCCAAAAAGGCAAATTTAGGGAAAAATTGGTATATACAACAACAAATGGGCAATTGGTCACTAATCTTGAATACCGGACTCTGCCTCATCTAAACTATCAGCCTTTTCTTCTAACATATAATCGCAAATCTCCAATAGCTGATCTGCGAGGGGTGGGATACCTGGATTTCTCCCATCATTGTACATGTGGGCATTATAAGCAATTTGCCATACATCATGACGAAAATCTTGTCTGTCTTTGTACTCAAGCCGTCTAACCTTCTCTTTAATTGTGGAGAGATCCATTGGGCGTTCAATTATGTTCAAATAATCGGGAGCATCTTTCTTGGATACAGGTTTTAAGAAAAGGTATGACACCTCAATTCTCTCTTTGAGGGTGTCCAGAATGCTCTCCAAAATATTAGCTAGGCCAACCTGTCAACAATCAAACAACATTACTAAAAGCCCAAGGATACCAGCTATAAAATACATGTATCAAAGAATTTGTCACCAGCAGACTAATCACATGAGTCTCACCATAAATGAACTTCACAATTCCTGGCAAAATTAATGAGAGCACTAGCTAAGGAAAATACCTCTCCGCCCTTACGCCGTTTGGTTGGTGGGACAAACTCCGCGCCATACCTCCCCAAGTCTGCAACAGTCTTCCTCTTAGCATTTCTTTCCCTCTCTGGCAATCGGTTATTCCTTTTTGCTGGAAAATCCTCCAAATGATCTTTCAAGTCAATTGTCCTCTTCTTTTTCTTTTTCTTCTTGTTGGCTTTTCGCCGTTCTTCTTCTTCTCTTTCTCTACGTATGTCTTCTTCATATTTTCTAAGCTCAGCCAATCTATCTCGCTCTTCTTGCATTCTCATTTCTTCCTCATAAATCCTTCTTGCTTGTTCTTCTCTAACTCTCTCTGCATTTCTCCTTTTCTCTTCCTCTTCCCACATACGTTTCGCTTCTTTATTTTTCTTTCTTAATGCATCTTCACTTATATGCTTTCTTTCTTGCTGTCTGTTTACTCCAAATCCTGTTAATTCAATCATCTTCCTGGTCTTTCTGTACTCTATCTCAGCACCTTCCTGGCTGGAGTGGTCTAGATTTATGACTTCCTTGGGTTGCTTGATGGTGATTTTTTTATGATGATGTTCTTTGACTGTTTCACTGGGTGGCCGTATAATAACATTGAGCTTTGCAGATTCAGCCTGAACATCATCAGGCTTCGTTTTGTTGCTTATTATTTTAATAACTTTAGGTGCAGATTTATTTACAGCTTCAACTTCAGATGTGCTTGGCTGTTCTAAACTTGGCATTGGAACAGATGTAACTTTAACCGGAACCTTCTCAGCAGCAGCATATCTTACTTTCAAAAATTTGGTCTTCGTACTAGACCTTTCCTCCTCAAGATATTCAACTTTAGGAGCTAATGTCAAACTTTTAGTCACGAGTTTCTTGTTTGAAGTCTTCACATGGGCCTGAGAAGGGGGGTCCTGAGATAAAAGTTTATACGAGTCCTTTTCTTGATCTAGGTTGTTAACCTGAGCTTCTGGATCTTCCCCATACTTGGGACAGTTCTTATTCGTTCGCATATGGCCAAGCTAAAAATAAATTTTAAGTATAGTAAGCTCATAAAATTACAAAAGCAGCAAATCAAGAAAATCTAATGAACAAACCTGTCCACAGGCACCACAAACAAAACTATCCCGAGCTGATTTCTTTTCCTTATATACCTGGAAAAAAGGAATTTGAATTACGTTTGGATAATTAATACCACCTCCGTTTTATTTTGTTGTCACATTTTAACTTTGTGCACTATTCACATAACTTAGTTTGACTTTGTTTTGTGATTTAGTGTTAGATAAAAACAGTCATGTGGGGTCTTGTTAGCTTCGTCTCAACGTCTAGTTTCCTAATATCAAAATTTTATATTTTTTTGCTAATACGCAATTAAAGATATTTACATATGAAAATATGCGTTGGCAAACGTGTCTAAATGAAATGTGTCAACTAATAAAAAACAGAGGAAGTAGAATTTAAGACTCCTTTAAAATAGAATATGCATGTAACAAAACACATAGAGTTCAGCCTGCAAGTGAATTGCAAAGTATACAAGATAAAAGATACTTGAGCTTTCATAAAGGAACAAGCAAAATTCACAGATAAAAGGATCGTGTTGCAGGCATGGTCTTGTCAGAATCGTCTCCTTTCATAGTTCCTCCCATCATCGCCCAACCTCCCCGCCCTAGTCAGATCTGATTATTTTGAGGGTAGGTTGCGCTACTTATTGGGGTGGATGGGCTGATTTTAGACCGGTTTTGGGGTGAGGGGAGGATTTCGGGTAGGTGCTGTGGGGTGGGGTAAGTTTTCAGGGTTTCGTTGCGGCTTGCGATTGGCCAGCTGTTGTCGGGGTGTTCGATAGTACGCGATTTTGGGTGGTTTTGTCAGTGCTTGTGGCTGGGACTTATGGAAGCCGGGGGGTGGGTGTTGTTGGAGCCCAACTAAAGAAGATAGAGATGTGGTGACTAAAATGGAGGTTGAAGGCGGTGGTCAATGAGGGTTTGTTGAGGCCTTGAGGGTGGTGAAATGTGTATTGAGGGCAGTGAGGTTGAAGGTGGTGGTAGGTGGGGTGTGGTGAGGGAGGTAAGGGTGGTGGGGTTGATTGCGAAGGCTAGGTTGGTGTGTGTTGAGGGCGGTGAAGTTGATTGTAGTGGCTGCCGAGAAACTGGTAGGTAGTGCTGCCAGTGAAAGAACGGCAAGGTGGTGGTGATAAGGTGGAGTCCCTTGATATATTAATTATTCTGATTTTCTCTCATACCCTTAATGATATGCCCCTTTTTTTTAAACAACCATTTAGAATTTTTTTTGGGAATTGTGCACGAGTTTGTTGCACTTAATAGTTAATTGTAACAGAGTTAGTAATTTAAAGTGTATTTACATTTGTGCTAGATAGATCCACCACTGTCTACTGCCTAGGCAGATACAAAACAAACAAGACTGGACACAAGGATAGTTAAGGACTTAAGGGTAAGCAGTAAGCTATAGGTCACACCCCTAAAAAAAGAACAAAAAGAGCCTAGACCTAGAGATCCAAAAGGTAATATTGATCCCACTGATCAGGATGAATAGCTATTGTAGTATTATTTGGTGAACCATAAGGTCCACAAATCATTCGGTCTCATCTAGGTTGCCTATGAACAATGATATATTTTACAAAAATGGGTCACATTAGTATACCTAGATAAATCCCCCAGCCCACGACACAAATATATATAAGCCCTACAAATTAAGTCTTGATGTCGACAAAATAAGTAGCCTTCTGCATATAATTTGTGAAATTCCCAACAAAACTATATCATATCACAGAGTCATACGGAGTATTATATCACAAGGTCAATTTTAAATTTGTTCCACAAAATAAATGTCACAAAAATGTAAGCATATACAATTTATAGGCTACAAAATAAGTAGATTTTACCTTTATCCCTTCAGTCATTATTTTGACTTTTTTATTCAGTAGATCCAAAGGCAATGCTTCGTTCTTTTTCGATGTTTTTGGCTTGGTTGACATAGGTTTTTTAGAATGCAACTTTTCAACCTAACATCAACAGAATATATTTACCAACAGTTATTTCGCTCGCACGCTGACATGGAGAAGCTTAATGACAAAAGAAATAAACATAATAACCAATAAGGAAAAAAATTTCTTATTAAAAACCAAGAGAATTTTCTCGAGTCATTACCTCCTCTGGATCAGCATTTTGCTTTCCCATCCATATACCATCAGGTACAACAGGGCCATCCATATGCTTTAACATAGTAATAGGCTTCTTGAAGCGCTCTGCATTTTCAAAGCCCAAACCCAATTGGGACCCTTGCATAGGTCTAAGTGATTCTCCTCTAGGCCTTGGTTTCTTCTTTTTCTTCCATTCAGCTTCATCATCTGCACATAATTATCTATATAAAATAAACATCATAGGAAACCCCATGTACAACTCTCCTCAAGGGCAATGAAATGTGATCAGAACACAGTTATAGCCTGTTTTCTCATCATAATACATGGGCCAGAAAATACCGTCCATGACAATCCTGCATAGTTCAGCAGCTTCATCTTCCATTTCTTCTTCCAACCGAGCTTGCGAAGTATGACGTCTCATTTTTAGCCCCTTGACTCCATCAGACTTGTTTTTTTTAATTTCCAAACCCTCTTCACCTTCTTCACCTTCTTCTGCATCAAGTAAATTTTCTAAATCTCCAGCAAAAGAATCCAGATCACTATTTGCTTCAGAGTCACTTTCATTTTCGTCAGCATCAGCTGCTGAAAGAGATTGAATCTGCCGGTCCCAAATTTCCTGACATTTTTCCCGGGTCTGTTGTTGAAGCTGAAGGAATGACATCCGCTGGCCTCGTGCATATTTACTAATAGTAGTTGGGTCAACCTTGACTCCTGAGGCAGCTTGTTCACTTGAAAGTTTGCGTATTAATGCAATGCGATGCCACCGAGATAACTTTTCAATCTGTTCCTCAGGTATGTTGAATTTCAAAAGAACCTAATGATTGCAAAAGATTCAAGCCTCAGATAACCAGTAATATCCCTCTTCATTCAAAAATGATTAAAAAAAAAAAAACTTACTAGTGAGTGTAATTATTAAATAAACTAGCTAATACATTATACATCACAACACTGAGAAAAGGACGGAAAGTCTACGTTCAAGAGCATCCTGAGATTAGGCCACAAAAAATTATCATACAATAACCGGGCATTCTATTGCATATACAACAACAACAACAACAACAAATCCTTAGTCCCAAAATGATTTGGAGTCTGCTAACAATCGTCATAAGGAACCGTACGATATAATTAATCAATTGAAAGAGTTTGAAAAAAGGAGAGTAAAGTGAGAAAAAGTAAGAGCATTCATGAAAAATTAAGGGAGTTTTAGAGAGAACTAAGAATAAAATTCAATAAAGTTTTAAAAGAGTGGTTAAAACGTTGGAGTAAAAAAATAAAGGTTTGAGAAAACTTTAGCAAAGGAAATCAATACAGTTCATAAAACACTAGTGAGATAAAACAATAAAAGTAAACACTAATAATTTTTAAAAGTTCGGAATTCTATTGCATATATCTCAAGAAATTTGGCATAAGCAAAAGGAAAAAGCCGTTGTGTCAAAAACAATAGATAATACAAAATTGCAAATATATTAAGAACCAAATGGAAATTGGAATGTTATATGAACGTGCAACTAGAACCTGCGACTAATTGCACATCACTCAGTGGCGGACCTATGAAGGAACCTGTGCCAGTACATGCTTAAAAAATAAAAAACTTTTGGTCAAAAATACCAACCTATGAAAGTTGCAATACTTAATATACTTTGTAAAAAGAATACATTCAATGCGCGCTGCTCTAGTGGTAAGAATGGGTTTTGTGCATTTCAGAGGCTAGGGGTTATGTGCAATATTCATTTTTATTTTTTTCTTATTTGAAAAGGCTATTATTGCTCAATTAAATTTCCTACTTTATTCCACATTTTTTTCGATTGTTTAAGATAAGAACCTTCACTTAATAAACAACAACAATTACTTTTTACAAAAATCAACAATAATAATATTGTAATTTTATTCATTTTTAAGACTTTAAGACCATCTCCAATGGTGAGACTCAAGTTTGAGTATTGAAATACAAAATGAGTTGTTTTTTACCTCCAATGGTGATACCATACCCACTTCTCAATTTAGCAACTCATGTGAAGCCTAAATTCCCAATGATGAGACTCTCTAAAACATACAAATGTCACTTTCAATTTATGGCTCACCAAATCCATTTATTTTTTAATATCAAACATTGTAGGATTTAAAAAAAAAGTAAAACCTAAATAAATTACAAAATATATTAGAATATCGACAAGGGGCCCACACTTTTTGTCAAATGAGACTCAAAGTTGAGTATCTAAACTAGCAACTTTCTTTTGGAGTTATATATATACCAACTTATTGGTACACATTGCAAAAAATACTCACTTGAGTCTCACCATTGAAGAGGATCTTAAAAAAGATATTACTACAATACTACTCCCTAAATTACTTTTTATTCTTTATGTATTAGATCTCGATTGATCACCTTTATTTTTATGATTTACTCATTTTCACACTTATTTAAAAGATACTACTCCTGTTATTTTTTATTCTATATGTATCAAATTTTGGTCGTCGTTCACCTTTATTTTATGGTTCTTTAAAAATTTTGGACATCATGAATAATGGATACAAAGTGCAAAGTAAATCATGTTACATAAGGAGTAAATTTTAATTTTATCGTTGCATTATATTGATACCTAAAACTTATTTGTGCGAGTAAAATATTTTTTTTTTAAAAAATCGATTTTTATAATCATCCAATGCTACCCCTAGTAAGAAATCCTGGATCTGCCACTGACATTACTATAATAGGGCATTCTGTTGAATATATATAAAAAAACTTAGGCATAAACAAAAAAAAAAAGGTTGTGTTAAAAACAATAGAGTTTGCACGACACCATAAATTACAATATAGTAAAAATCGGACACATTACTGCTTAGTGGCCTCATATTACCGCCGGTGATCATAACCAACCATCTTTTTAGGCCTTAACTTTCAATTAGTGGCTCAGATGTGAAGGACATGATAACTTTTGAGCTATTGTTAACCTCTTAGTTACATATGACTGTTATACACTTGTATTCTACTCTTATCAATCATTTGTTTTGTATTATTTTATACTAGACACTTTTGAGGTGTCCATTTTCTTTCTCTTTTAAAAATTCTCTTATATACAATATCCAGTTGGTACTGAAGTTCCACTTTTTTTCCTCTATCTACTAACTATTTTATATTCCCTCCGTCCTTTATAAATGTGCCTATTCCTCAAAAAAGACGGTAATTAAGGAGAATGGATGGAGTAAAGAAATATTGTATAGGAAAAATAAAAAGCGGAGACTATAGTATGGGAATAGTAAAAAGTAGAGAATATTTGTATAGGAAAGATAAAAAGTAGAGAATATTTGTATGGGAAAGATAAAAAGTAATGATTTTTTGGGTATATGTGAATTTTGTATGGGAAGGATAACAAAGTAAGTAATGATTATGTGTTATTTTTAGAAACAAACACATCATTGCGGGGCACCAAAAAAGGAAATAGTCACATCAAAAAGGGACAGAGGGAGTAAATTTTTGTACACTTTGCAGACTTAAAAATCTGTTTTCATTTTTGTTATTCTAGAAGCTTTCATTTATCACCTCACACTGTTTAAAATTGGATGGACATGGAAGTAATAAATTTATAAGACTCCAGGTTATCTAAATATGTTTTACTACATGTGTTAAGCATTTTCATTGACTGTAGGGAGTTAAAACTTTACAAAATTCCAGGGCATAAACCGTGAAAATAACACTAACAGAAAAACTGAAAATTTGTGCATTCAAAATCTAAAGGATTCTATATAATTAAGACCTACACACCTCTCTTGCAGCCTCCATGCTCAATCGTCGAAGATCAGCATCTGTCCCAGTGACAGTAGTACCACGAGGAACAGCAGGCTTTTTCTTCACCAGGGCATTCGACAACGGAGGCTTTGCAGCAACACGAACATAACTGAAGCCTAAGCCTCGACCAGATGGATCACCAACACCTGAAATTTCCAACCGCTCTATATTTTCTCTATCCTGATATGATGGGAGAAAGACAAAAGGCAAATATCAACATAATTGTAGAAGCACAAAAAATTTGTAATCTTTAGTTCTAACAGTTTTCCTTCATTTGACCACAGAAATCTAAGCTAGAACTATCAATAACTATGCTGGTCAACTGACCTAAATACCTAATACGATCTACAGTCTAGACAGCCTGTTTACCAAGGACAGCAGTAAATTTGGCTGAGTTGACAAATTCATATATTTTATGGTGACATGCTACTATAGCAATCCGTTTTACAAGAAAACCAAGGCAAGAACTATGACAAAAAGGTATATTCGAAAACTGGCATGATCAAATACAGTGATAGATATAATCCAAGAGTTAAGACAAGCAACCTTAACTACAAAGAGGCTATGGAAAATTATGCCGTAACTCAAGACAAGCAACTTAAAGACAAGACTGAAGACATAGAAAATTTACTATTACATATCTCAGAGAGCTACTTTCTAGTAGATTACTACAAAGAGGCTCACAAATTCAAGAACACAACATATTCTTCCTATGGCATCCTATCTTCTAAATACAAGAATGTTTCCCATCAACCGCTATGGATAATCTGTTTAGTAGTCATGTTATTGCGCCTCACAATAATAGTGTTATAACAATATGAACTACAGCAACAGCAAAGAAACACCGCATAGAAGCAAAGCCCAATGGGTTGAAGCATTACCTGACTGGTACAAGCAACAAAATTGGCAGTTAGATTCCATGGAGTTATCTGCAATTCTCTCTCAATGTGTGATGCTGCAGCCAGAGCAATTGCTTCATCAGGAAGCTGATTCATTGCAGACGAAAGAGCAGCTAGCTGTGCTGGGCCCGTTAGATGTGCCAACCTTGTTATTCCAAGACGTTTGAGCCGATGAAGACCTGCCAGTAGACTTTCATAAGTGCAGACCTGTAACGAGTAGCATGAGATCAGGAGGCAAGCATCTTACTGAGTTATGAAGAGGGAGAAATGATGACAAAATAGATAATCGACACTGAAATTGTTGCACACATTCCAGCTCAAATTGACCTTCTTTGCATCACTTTGCAACAATGGATCAAGACATCAAAAAAAGAGGAAGATAAGACCATTCATTATTCATTAAAATAGGACTGCCAAAGTAGACAATTGTAGCACCTTTACACTGCTTCCTAGAATGACATCCACAAATGCTATTAACTTTCAGTGTATAAACTAAGTAATATGCCCACATAGATGCCTATAAAAATAGTAGTTGGAAAACTTTCAAAAGAGATGGAATTTGTTTCATATCTCTTCAAAAAGCTCATCTCTTTCTTACTTAATAATAACTAATCTTTGATCCGAGATATGGTTGAAGTACATTATTTACTGAAAATATTTTCTTTGCATATTATTAAAATTACGTAAATTTAAAAAATCAAACTTATGAAAAGATTAGTTTATCAATAAACATGGAAGATGGCTAAGATCAAATTTAGTTTAAAAATTAAAGATCTGGTTTATTTTTAAGACTTAAGAGATATTGTTGGTTTTTGAAATGATAAATCACTTTTGAATTTTTGATAGTAAACGATTTTTTCCCTCTTTTTAAAAAAAATTATTTCCAAATTTTGAAGCATAATAGTATTCGCAAAAAACAAAAGGTTTAGGTGGGAAAATATCATATAAGAAGCTTAGTAGCTAACACATGTGCTTCTAGGATATCCTAGGTCTTTATTTTAAATATGAAGTTTAAATAGGTAGACTCCAAAGGAAAATTGTAATGGCTAATAATGAAACCCAGAAAAGCCATAGCATTAAAATCTCGGCCACATCGCCGCAATGAAAGGAGTTGTTGAGCTAACTGTGACCGTGACTGTGACATACAGCCACGGCTATCAATAATTCCCCCAAAAGTATATATGCATTTGCAAGTGCATCCCAGTATTAAAATCTTGATTAAGCTGGTTTAAGCAGGAGGAATACATATTAAACGCATCTGGATCAAACCCTTTTGTATTCTTAAGCTGATTAAAAACCCATTGAACAAACTCCCTATTCCCAAAAGTTCAACTCATTTTCCAATTTGCATCATTTCACGAAATTCGACTAACTTCTACTTATTCCATTTTGGGAAACCCATATTACTATCTCATCCTCCTACCCCACACTATTTACACCCTCTCTCTTACTCTATCCACCATTTTCTTACACACACCCACCTTATTATCCCATCTCTCTTACTTTATTCACTTATTTCTTACATCTACTCACTTTTTCCATGCATTCCTACAAACAAGTCCACAGTAAGCTAGTCAAACTTTTAGGAACAAAGAGATAATAATCATTGACCTCATATTTTCGGGAAAAAAAGGTACATGTGCATAGAGAATTACTTCATATTTGCTTCATTTCTAGAAAAAAACAGTCTCTGTGTTGAGGAATGTAAAGGAAAACTCCCACATGTTCTATCTCTCATTATTAGGAAAAAAAATAGTGAAAGGCTTAAAAGAAGAGTAGCAAACAATGCAAACAAATAGAAACAAGCTAAAACGGAAACAATATAAGAAAAAACAGGGAGTGCTATTTGGTGAGAATCAGTAAAACAACATTTTAAACAGGAAATATTCAGTTTTTGGCAGAAAAAAAAAATAATAATAAACTGCAGATGAGAAAAAACACGAGAATCAGCACAAATCAGGTCCAATCAATAAAAATCAACTACAATCCGAGAAGTCAGTTTCAATCATTATCAGTTCAATCAATAATATAGACTTCAGTTCAACAAAATTTGGGTGAAAAGGCCAGCTTAGCAAAATCTGGGTGAAGAGACCAAATAAAAGTTACAGCCTCCTAAAGTACACAAAATCATTCTCCATCAATAATCTGAGATAGACTAGGATATACAGTCCACTGATCAGAATACAAGAAAACCATTTCCGACACAATTTAAATTTTAAAACAAAAGAAAGAGCATAAAATGTGCACAATAAATGAAAAGCCTCACTGTTTCTGGTGTCACCATCCGCCTAAGCTCTTCCTCTGGTGGAATGTGGAAATTGCGTCTCATAACATAATAAGATTGTCCATTTGGCCCTCTCTGGTGAACAGAAGAAATACATTCCAAAAATCATAACACCGTAAAAACCAGAGTTAAAGCCACTGTATTGATTAATTTATATAAAGAAATATCAAATAAAAATTATCAAAAATGAAAAAAAAAAAAAAAAAAAGTACCTGCACATCCGCACAATGCTTCACCTTTTTACGAAGAAAATGTTCAGCGATGTTAGAAAAATGTGCAGACAACTCATCAACACGAATCCAGGGAAGCATGCCACGTTTTTCAGCTGCACAAAACTCACGATACATATACACAAGAAGTCTATTAATCATAAAAGATTGGAGACCCTTAGCACCAGGAGACATAACTTCCATGTGTGGTTCCTGCAATCAACAAACAGCTAACAAAATCAAATGAACTAATCAAGAAAGAAAACTAAACCTTTATCCGAGCATAATGAAGAATAAAGCAAGAGAACAAAAAAAATAAGATGGTTTCCATGAAAAGATAAACAAAGTACCAACAAAGGAAATCAGAATTTAGAACTGTTCAGATGTTGAGAACGTAAAACAAAAGCAATCAGATAAATCACCTGCTGACCAACAGCATGCATCTTGTTGATTCGTCTAATAGACAACTTCCCCTTGGCTGATCGAACCAATATGTAGTCAGTTGAAGCAACTTTATGAGGAAATATAGGTGCTCTATACATGTTTGTCTCAATACAGGATTGACTACAACCCGGTTTTATATCTCCGAGAAAGGGGGATTTATCAGCAGGATCAAGAGCCAGAACTGTCCCTAATCCACTATTCAGATTACGTAACATATCACCATTTTGATCATCTGAAGATGATTTCTGATAATAAGAGCATAGTCTAGCACCCATTCCAACATTACTAATCAACAGAGGTCTTTCCTCACAATACCTGCATAATAAAACAATGATCTTATAGTTATGGCCCCCCCTAGGCAAAACAGAATAAGCAAACAAAATAATATCATTGCTCCAGTTAGGCATCCTAATAAATTGTTCACATATTCTACTTCAGGCAACTATTTATTTTTGGTTTTCTTTAGCAACATTTCCATTAGGCATTTTCTGTTTCTTTTTTCTATTCTTTATTTTCCTCTTACATAATTCTCTATGAATGTAAAATGATTATAAAAAAATAAATAAATAAAAAATCTTTTAAAAGTTTTGTGGTCACCCTTTTAAAATTTTGATTATTAATTATCTTAAACCTATAAGAAATAATATAGACCATAAAAAGTCAAATAGAGCAATGATTAAGGGATGGGGTACATATTTAGAGTGAAGACTTATTTGATACTCCGTACATCACAAAAAATTGAAGGGTTTTTCTAAGCTATACCCCTAAGGTATTCGAGTTTCTAAGGTGTATCCATGCTTTTTCAAGTTTCTAAGCTGTGCCCTTCAACTCCTTATCAATACTAAAATGTACCCTTATTAGTTGTTTAAAAGTTATTTGAGAGTGTGATTTCGTGGCTTCAGTTTTCATTATTAGGGTTGCGGTGGCTAAGATTTCTTTCTCATACCATTTCCTTACCTTTTATCATCTTTCTATTAAATTAATAGTTAACTTTAGGTGACGTGGAAGTCCAAGGAGGGTACCATTCATTAATGGTAGTGAGTTGAGGGGCACAACTTAGAAACTTGAAAAAGCATGGGTACACCTTAGAAACTCGAATACCTTAGGGGTATAGCTTAGAAAAACCCAAAATTGAAATACTTCCTCCACTCCTTGAATATAGCTACGTTTACCTCTTTAGGAAGTTTAACAAAAATAAAAAAAAATTTGCAACATACCCATATTAGGAGAGAAATACCCTTACCTTTTGATACTTGTTGCTATAATATGCAAAAAAAATTGTAATAACTATTGCAAAGAGAAATTTAAAGAAGATAAGAAGAAGACAAAGATAAAAGGAAGCACAAGAGCCATAATTTAAGCAAATGAACTCTACATGTCAGATAAAACTTATTCCTTGTGAATTTAGGGCCTCCGTGTGAATTCTTACTGTGCATTAGTTTCCACAGTTCGTAAATACTTTTTGAAAATGAACTCTACATGTCAGATAAATCTTATTCCTTGTGAATTTAGGGCCTCCGTGTGAATTCTTACTGTGCATTAGTTTCCATAGCTCGTAAATACTTTTTGAAACTATCTGCACATTGGCAGAGAGTACCATAGAAAAATAGCTATCAAAAAAGGTCCCAGTCTCAGTTCTATTATAGCCCCTGTTTGCTTGCATTTTGTTTTGGAGTTAATAATGATACAATGTTGAACAATGTTGGGCATAATTAACTTGATAAAGTTCGCATAACAAAGCTAATCACTGATTAAAGAAAACAAATGTAAAAACAGCCTGTAAGGTAGTCACTAGTCCAGACTCCAGAAAGTACATTATATAAAGAGAAAGCACTCTGCGACAAATGCAAGCTCAACCTTAAAAATCCACAGGTTCCTTTCTTCTCAAGTGCACAATCCAAAAGCCAGTGGAACAATATTCCCCAGTTCAGCACTTCAGCCTTCAAATCTTCATCTATATTCTTCTGTTCTATGCAATAGATTATCTTGGCTGCGTGAAACTGAAACCCACTCATCCCAAGAAAATCTAGTGATCTTTCAGTCATTTTTGCCACAGGGAAAAAACCCAAAAACATACTTCCTCCATTCCTTTTTACGTGACCTATTTCTTTTATCACACGTCCCAATGCAGAACTTTAACGACCAATAACTTTAATTATCCATAAGTAAAAATTATAGAAGTTAGATATTATGATAGTACTTATTGAGACGATTTTTATAAAAAAAAAATCCCGCATGAATATGTTTTTCCTTACATAATTCACAAAAGACAGTCAAAAAAAGGGTGGTGAATAGTGTAAAAGTCAAAACGGTTCAAGTAAAAAAGAACGGAGGAATTAGTAAGTGATCAACTCTTAGATTGCTATTGCATATGGTTAAGGAATCACCCATTTCAAATTTCCGTAAGGTTGCTGGGTATTTCTTGAAAGATACACATCCAAAATCATGAGGAAAATAAAACTTATGTTATTGTAGCTGCTTGTGGTATCCTAAGTCAATTGATCTTCAAATCATTGGTTCCAATTCCAGCAGCTACTAATAGCTACTAGAGTTCAACAGGATTAACAGAACTTCTGGGCTAGAGTACCATTTTACTTTGATTTTTTTCGTTTTTTAAGAATTTCTAGATTAAAAATAGCTGGTCCTGCGGCTGTATAGGATATAATAGTATCTGTGTTTATATTTGTTGTAATCCTACAAGCCCACTATTTTTCTGTTAAATCATTCGGAAGATTCCTTGTCCTCTAATGATGTGCTTGCCTTCTTAAATTACTATGCACACGATGATTTCAAAAAATAATTATCTTAACTATCTAATAGAGAATTAAAATTTTACGTAAGTATACAATAAGAAATAATGTTATAAATAATAGGAAATTTTAGATTTTAACACCAGACAAAAACCCGAAAATGGTTTTTAACACCCCCATAAAAAATTAAAAAAAAAAAAATATATATATATTATTTTAACACCAGACAAATTTTAAAAAAATGGATTTTACCAACACTGAACTGATTATGATAAGAAATCCGTTAAGTGGGGCCATGAAGCCACGTGTTGCTTTATTATTGGCCAAAAAAAAAGAAAAAAAATTATGAAAAAACCTAAAACTACCCAGCCACTGCCACCTTCTTATCCACCTTGACCCACAGCTGCTGGTTGAGCGGCACACCACCTCCCCCTCCCTCACAGACCGACCTGAAACCCTTTTCCCGCAGCCCTAAACCACCCCAAAACCATCTAACTACAGCTGTCATTCCCCGAGAACGGCCACAAATTCGGCCATTGATGGCCGAAATCGGCCGGTTAAGGCCACTCAGCCCCAAAACCAGCCGATTTCAGCCATTAATCGCCAAATTCGTGGCCGTTTTGGAGAAGGAGGGTTGCGGATTAGGGTTTCAGCCATTAGTTGCGGGGTAGTTTTGGGGGGATTAGAGTTGCAAAGGGGAGGGGATGAGCCAGCGACTACGTTGGGTGAAGGTAGCTGGGTGGGGCGGTGGTGGGGCTGGGTAGATTTAGGAATTATTATTTTTTTAATTTTTTCTTTTATTTCAATTTTTATTTTTTAAAAACAAGTAAAATGGTGACACGAGTCACTGTGGACCCCACTTAACGAAATATTTGGACGGAGATTGTAAAGTGGTGGTAATAACCCTTCTAAAAAATTTGTCTGGTGTTAAAATAATTTTTTTTTATGGGGGTGTTAAAAACCATTTTCGGATTATTGTCAGGTGTTAAAATCTAAAATTTCCTAAATAAAATATTACATGAAAATAAAAAAATTACTGTAATTCATGTTTAAGAAAAGATTAAGGAAGGTAGTTGAGCATGTTACCACAACTAAAAATGGTAACAAGTGATTGTCGATTTTTATTTTTTATTATAATGAATTTCAAAGATAGAATCAGTTTGATTAAAAAATTTAAATATGTGTATTAAATGATTGGTTTTGCCGATGGACATAAATTTATATTATGTAAGTTATTTATTATTGACGTAATTTTAGTATTGAATATTTGAATGTTATTTATATTTATATATTCTTTGCTAATTGATTGATGTTTCCTTTTTTTAAATGCTGATTGATTGATGTTTCCTATATTATTTGCTAATTGATTGACTTTTTTTTTACAATTATCTCTTACACTATGTCTAAGGAAGAAGGATGCTGTGTCTTTTTAGGGGGACACCACAACCTGCTCCCTCACTTATATATAGAGATCAATGAAATTGCTTTCACCCAAGGTAAATAACCTGACAGAAAACACTAACCGACTAACCACACAAGCTTACAACACTATTTATCCTTCAGAGGATGATGAAACAGAACAGTGTTGTAAACTTATGGACAAGTCAACAAGACCATTGCCAGTATATTGAACTTCCTAAATCCTAATTATCCGAATAAAGAAAAAGTTATGCTTTACATGTACAATCATGAACCAGGCATTGATGCTTGAACAAGTAACTTACTCCATTAGGAAAACATGACCATCTTTGAGTGAAAGATCAGATTTCTTCTTAAAAGCCCCTGGTGGACGCAAGGACTTGCTCCCATTAGGAAGCTTCTGTGCAATTGGCAACAAATGTATCTTTGTACGGACAAGATGAAGCAATGAATTAGGCCGCACATTCTGGGCAGCAAGAGTCATATGGTCATCCAGCTCTTTTCCCATACAGAATATTTTAACAGCTTCAGTCAGTTTAAAATCTGCGATGAAAAAAAACCAACTAGGCATGAGCATTTCAAACTTCCAGCAATAACTATTAACTAAATACTCAGGAGCCATAAAAAAAAAAAAAAATAAAAAAAAAAAAATAAAAAAAAAATAAAAATTAGATAGTTAGTAAGATTCATTGAAACCTGAAACAAGCACAGATTTTGAATTAAGGTAGCTCACCCAGTTTTTTTGAAGCCTTTGATTTTAATGAGCTAATATTTTCTTCTGCATCCACATTGATTTTGCAACCTTTGCCACCCAGGCTTTTCAGTAAAACCTTCATAGGCCCTTGCACAGGAAGCCTTTCCAGCTCTTTAACAGCTAACTCACTTACATGAGGATACCATGTTGCCTTTGGACGATGAAAGTTAGCAATATCCTTGCTGCAAGACATCCAAAAAGAAGCAGGTTAACATAGACATCCAAGATTTATATGACATCAAGCACATCTAGGCTTCCAGAAAACTTTCAGCAATCAGAACTTCACTAGATGAAAAATCAAGTAAAACAATAATGTGACACGGGTTTTGATATGACAGGGGTCATCTGTTCAGTTTTCCCCGGTATTTTTTTTCCATTCAACTAAACAAAAAGCTTAATCCGAGGCTCCTAGCTATTATTTTCCAACCCCACCCCACCACCAAAATACTCAGTCACAAGGCTTGAAAATTCATGAACTTTTGGGGGTTTGGGATCCAAAGCAGACACACAGCACAATACAGCACTACTATGAATAATCATAAAATGACAACCAATAACGAATGGTAAAAGGTGAAACAAAAAGAATTGTCTTACTTGCTCAGTCTAGGTTTTATTGTTTGCAGCTTCAATGCAGGAATTGAATGCAAAACTTTCACACTATGAGCAGTTCGTTTCTTTGAAAGCGACTTTAGCTGCGGTGAAGTTTTTCGGTTGGAGTAATACTTGTCATTAGCAATATTAAATCGTCCACCAGATAATGTCAGATGACCAGGAACTTCGAAAACTTCAGCACCAGTTGTTCCATTTCGTGTAGTAATCATTGCCCCAGCATGAACCTGTAGATGCTCATAGTCTTTGTTGTCTAAGAGTTCAAAGACCATCTGCTCATCTTGAAGATCATATATTAGCTTTGGTTTAGCAATTGGCTTCCCAAATTCCCATACTATATTATCGATCCAAGACCCTTCATTTAATTCTTTGTTTTGTAACGCTAGTTGTTTAAATCGCTTCATAAAGTCGAGTTGTTCAGGTTCTTCTGATTCATTTCCCTTCCTTGTATCAGAAAGATTTGAAGGCTCATTTTCCAATCTAGACTCTAACCTCAAGAGTTGAGGATGGAAAAAGCTCTCTGAGAAGGCAGGAGTAGCAGAATCTCCAAACCCAAATGGTTCCACAGAGAAGTTAATCAAATCATTGTGACACAAATTATCCTTCTCGCAAGGCATACTTTTGGGGTCAGACAACTGCTCGTGGGACCTCGACATGATTTCTTTCTCTTCATGAGTCAGGGACTCAGAATCAGGTCCAGAGAGTTCACAACTTTCCACGGATATTGGACTCACTGTAGGGGAGTTGCCCCAGATAATCTTATCTTCCCAGTCCTGCTGATCTAGTGAGTAAAATTCCATAGACATACATGACTTTCGTTCAGCACAAAAATCAAAGGTCGAATCTGTTCTCATAGGCTCAGAACTAAGACAAGAGTCTTTCTTCACAACATGAACGGTACACATTCCTTCAATCGAATCTAACTTTGAGTCATCATCCACTAATACTTCAGAATGATCTTGCGCTTCCTGCATGTGTTTTCTTCTGTCAGAAATCACTTGGCATGATCCCCTAAGAAATTCCTCCTCATCCTCCTCAACCATGTGTGATGAATCAAGAGAAATATACTTTTCTGAAAGAGGAAAATGACTCAGAGTCAAGATATATAGTAGCTCGTTAGTACATAACATCAGATGCAGTAGAATCCATGCACTAGAGAACTAGGGAATCTATAGCTAATACACTATTTATCAGGGAGCAAAGACATTATTGAAGAAACATCAGACTGTAGTAAAAGAAATTCCATAAAATGTTTAATACCACCACTCCAAAAAAAAAAAAAAAATGGAAATCAACACACACACTCACTCACAAACAAAAAAGAGAAAAATCAATAGAAGAGAGAGAAGGATTACATCATAAGTATACAATGGTTACATCACAAAAATAGTACGGGCATATTACCTTTAGGAATGGAATACCTGTGCCCCCTTCTTCCAGCCTTTTTCAAGGGCTCACTAACACCAAAAATTTCAGAAAACTTCAAAATTGCCATTCCATCTTCTACACACAAAATTGGCAGTCGCACCAAACTTTTAGTATCAGTTATATCATGGGAAACTACAGGTTCGTCCTGTTGACAAAGAAACAGAATTAATCCATGGATTAGCCAACCTCTAACAAGTGCATTTAAATTGATATACCTTCTAATAAGAGAAACTTAAGTTTGATAAAAAAAAAAAATGAGCAGTAAATGAAACCAAGAGTCAAATAGAGCAGTTGGTGTGCACGCCAACAGCTACATTACAAGTTTGGTTCTTCCTAATATAATTCACTGACACCAATGGAATATACAATGAAATTATTTAAATAAAAGGTAATCAAAATTAAAGTAAGCACCATCAACAAGAGAGACATGAATGGGAACAAACTACTCTAATAACCCCAAACTAAGGGCCTTTTTGGTTGGGAGGAATTGGGAGGAAAAGAAAAGAAAGGAAAGGAAAAATATATGTTCCTTTATTTGGTTCTAAAAGTTAAATGGGATTTGAAAGGAAATGGAAGGAAAGCTTCCTTCACAAAATCTTCCGATTCCTTTTCTTCCAAAATTAGTTTCCTCTTCCCTTACCTTCCTTTACAAATATCATACCAAACATTGGATGATATAGTTCTTTCCTTTCCCTTCTTTTCTTTTCTTTTCTTTTCCCTTCCCTTCCTTTCTCTTCCTTTTCTTTACTAATATTGAACCAAGCAAAGCCTAAAAATGAGACAAAATAATTATTTCCAAGGTGTACTTGGAAATGGCCGAAAGAATTTTATTTTATTTTCTTTATTTTTCAAGACAAGTTCACAGTAAAGATTTGAGCCCTTTTTACGATAAAATTAATACATGAATTTCTCAGAACACATGGTGCCATAATTTACAGAAAAAGAGGCCATAGTGCCTCATAACTAGCAATAAAAAAAAAAAATTACCATGTCATGAAAGTACATAATAGAATATTTGATGCAGAAGCACTTAAACATCCACATTATTAAATCCAAGCTCAATGATTCCTGCAAGTGATTGAGCTTCCAGATATTGCGCTAGTTGCTTAAGAGCAACTCCAGTGGTTGTAGCTAGGGGCTTGCTTGTAATTTCAATGATTCCCTAGCTACTAGCTTAACCATTGGAGCTAGAAAACTCAATTAGCTTGGCCAAGCAAATTAGCTTTGCCAAGCTAATTTGCTTGGGAATTAAACTTGCTAAAATAAAATGCCAATTGCATCAATTTAGCTCTTTCCATGTACTTTCAATCCAACAACTATTACTAAGCTAATAGCTAGCCATTGGAGCAAAAATTAGCTAAAATGATAATTAGCTTAAAAGCTTATGTGGCATGGCAAGCTAATTGTCAAATTAGCTTCCCATTGGAGTTGCTCTAACTAATTTGTATTAAACTGAAGATTTAGCACCAATCAAGCAAAAATACAATATTTAGCTTTAACATTTTGAACAAAGCCAAAGATTATTTATGATTCAGAAGACTAAGAATTGAAGCAAGAGCATGTGAGTGGCAAAAATAATTAGCAGCAGCTTTCTCACACACAAACTAACTGTAGCACTTGATTCTTTTTGTCAGTTGACAATTTGCTTTTAAAAGCATCAAGATTCAAGACTTGATTCTGCTTCTATATGAGATTAATTACCTTCTAAATTTACAAAGTAATAACCAGCGAAGTGTTGACTAAAAAACATTCAGGCAGCCAATGAACATCTGTAGGAATTAGGTCATCTACATTACTGTTAAAGCTACTGCCAGAATTAATATAGCCAAGGGTGGTGTCGTAATTCCCGTAGAATAATATACACCCTCTTATTAATTCTGTCAAAACTAAATAGCATATATTTTAATAAACTTTAGGTGTTGAACATCAGCATAAGAACTTCCAGCAATATATATAGCAACTGAACAGACTAACAAAGAAATTTTTTTACAAGAGAAAATAAATAATCATCCATTACACGTAATTAAGGTCATCAAGTATACCTTTTGAAATTCAGTAAAACCAACAGAAGTTTCAGTCTGAGCTGGACTGGTATCCATAGGTGATTCAGGATAGATATCTTGGTTAGCTGCTGTAACATCATTGGCATTCACGACTGAAAGAAATTTGATACAGTAAGTTTCAGAAAGATTTGGATCTAGTTGTGATTAAAAGAAAAGCAATGAATCACCAAAAAGAATCAGAAGACCCCACAACTGATATGAACATATCCTCATTTTAAAAAATTGCTAAGAACAGAAGCATCTTTTCTTGGATTTCAATTCTCAAAAAATGTCAGATCCACTGCAGTCCTAGCACAAAAAAAGAGATCCCTGACCTAAATAACTTAGTCCCACAAAATTTGGAACAAAGTCCACAAGAAGTGCTGCAGCAAACTCTTCCTAAAATCAACAATCAATCCAACCATCCATATGTCATTGTGTTAAAAATTCTTTACCATTTTCTTCGGTGGCATTTTTGTAAGAAGATAGAAGTTATATTCCCTTCCCAATGTGTCACTTCAGGCTTCAGCAATCTTCAATGCTTGGAAATTTTATCTAATTTCCAGCCTCACTTTTCTTTTCCTTTCCAGGCCACCCCATTCAATCCAGAAGTGGATGCCTTCTACAGCAAGTTATTTAAAAGTAGTGTTGGTGTTTCACGGAAAGATGTTTCTTTGGTTGAGGCCTTGAGGGTTTGGCAGGCATCAAATTAGTCAAGGACAGGACAGGACTTGGATAAAAAGTATTAGGCAAAGAAACGCAGCCAGAATTTCTCAGCAGAGCAAGCTCTGGTTTTACTGGACCATAAGAAATGGAGAAATGTTAATTAATCCCAGCAAAACTGACCCACACCCGGTAACCCAAACCATAACCTACTCGACATCATGTGACTACGTTAATCCAAACTGTCCCGCCAAATCCAATGCGTCTACTTATAATTAGCCATTAGGAATTAGGAAATAGAATGGAATATGACCCGATCCAACCTTAACAATTCTACACCTAAACATGAACAGACCAGATCCCAAACTAAACAACTCAATTGCCTTTCTAATGTTAATATGGATTAATAACGAATTACATTTATTCTAGCGAGCTGATCAGATTATAATACATTGTAAGGCACTAAAAAAAACAGCTTTTGAGGTCTCACATTCTATTCAAGACTTAAGGATGCAATAAGGTAGCAGATGATTTAGAAAAAGAAGCAAGGAGCTCAATTCTTTCGATAATAAGAAAAACTTTGCAAGTAGAAACCCCCTGGAGTTTATTCCATCAACTATGTAGGCTTATTGGATGAAATATGGTTTACCATAATCTACTACATAATTTAATTGCCCCTTTCTACCAAAAAAAAAAAAATAGTAGCCGCATTCCTTTCATCAGGTTACCAAACAGCCAAACATCAAAACTTAATAGCAAAAGGCAAAAAAGAGACCACAGACCATTGCCAATGAGAAATATCAACTACCAACATATCATCCACCTAAGAGGCCCTAATTAAACAAATGTTTTGGAAAAAACCATTAGCCTATAGAAAATAAAATAAAATAATAAATAAAATGTGTGCAATTGGCAGGCCAGAAGATTAGAAAATTGGAAAGAAAAATAACTAAATATATGTGGGGTTAGAGAGATATAAAATGTGAGAAGCGTTACTTGAAAATCAGGAGAAAAACTATTTTCAGAGTAGAATATAAGGCAAATGTGAAAAATAATGTATAGCTGAGGGAATAAATAAAAGACAAAAAAGCCATTAAATTTATAATCAAGAACAGAACATCCAATAAAAAATAAAAAAATTGTGCATGCCATAGACACCAGAAGGTAAGCTACAGACTGACGTTGAAGATTCCAAAAAGGGGGGATAAAAACCTGGTGACGCAATTGCTTGAATCACCAACTTGTTATCCACAGGCTCGATATTCTCATCATCCAGTGGCTTCAAAACTAGGTCATGCACAGCACGTGTTTCAATTTCAGCTTCACTAGCAACAGCATCAGATTCCTTTTCATCATCCACGTCTTCATCATAATCTTCATCATCAAAAACAGAGGATTTGTGATCCAAATTAGCTGCAGGAGCATCAGCTGGAAAATATTCGCTTTTTGGCAACAGATGATCCTCCTCGGTACCAGTGTCAATCTCAGGACCCTCATATTGCTCATCTATATCTTCATAATCAACAGCGTCCACAGCCTTCTCATCATAATCTGAACAGAAGTACAAGTTTCTCAATTTACAGGACACACCCAGTCACTAAATCTCAGAAACATTTGGACAAAAGTAAACTTTAAAGCACAGCTTCTAAGACTCATCTTACAACAATATCACTCCTTCAAAGTGAAGCCAAATGATTCCTGATTTTTGCAGATAACATCAAAATAGCATAACAAGCACCCAGATCCACAATCTAGTGCATTGATTAGATCAAACTCCAATTACAATTCGGATACATTTCTTGACAGGTAATATGTTATCTCAATTTCAAAAAATAATTGAAAGCTACAAGCTTGGATTCAAACAAATACCAGCACCTATAATCAAGATTACAAAGATAAAGTTCCATCCACTAATAAAATCCATAGCAACAAAGTAATATACAATAGAATCATATAAAGATGAAGTTGGGATCCTGAAACAGCAATATCAAGCAATAAATCTAGGAAAATGAAAAGAAAAAAAAAAAAAAAAACTAGAAAAATGGAAACAACGGAGTTTTCAAATTAATATGAAGCAAATATCTGAAGAAAGCAACTCTTGACAGCATGTGGAATCTATCATATCCCCAATGAGAATCCTGTAACCCGTGTAAGACCATCATATATGCCTCCAAAGTCCTAAGCTAGGTACATAAAACAATATCATATTAACAAATCTTTTAAGCAGTGTATAAACATTTATAGTATTAAATTTAAAGACATACGAAATGGCATCAGTCGCTCAAGACAAAACCAAAGGAACTCTAATTTCATAAAACATCAGTATAAAACATCAGTACAAAACCTTCTTCAACTGTAGAAGCAGCAGCTGGTGTCTGTGAGGATCTTCCTGAAAACTAGAATCACTCAAGTATCAGAATTATATATGAAAAAGTCAAAAAACTTAGGACATACCGTTCGATAACAAAAAGCAGAAAAGGAAATCATACATTCATAACAGTGAGAGATGATCCCAACTTGGCAGCCAGTGCATCAAGATGCTCTTTTGCATCCTGCAAGAAAATCCCACAAAATTAGCATGGAACATCTAACAACTGCCAGGCAAAAAAAAAAGCTCTCTCGCTCTCTCTACCAAAATATAGATTTACATACTCCACCATTACACATTATCAATCAACAATTACATCTTTCTAATTCCATATCATGTATCACTTGGAAATATGATAGAAACATTTCTTGTCATTTTTTATCGCATCTGAGATATTACTAATCAACTTTAAATAGCTACAGCATCTATGAAGTCCACAAAGCACATAGCCTTAGAAAGATGAAGGAACATAGGGAATACAGGTTAAGTCGGTGACGAATATATTCCGGCACTCGAAATGGGTGAAGTGGAAGGGTCCAGAACATGATTCATTTGACAGTGTAATATATATATCCAGAAGCCTCATTTAGCAAGGCTCTCACCCCTAGGATAATTCTCACGAAAACAATTATTTAATTCAGATCAATAAACTCAATAAGGCATCTTTCATTCCTTATCACATCTAAGTTTACCACGAGCTCAATAATATGAATTGGGACAACAACTCATCTTCCACTAAAACCACTCTATAACCAAGTACATACATTAAAAAGGAATTAAGTAATATTGAAAGAAAGTTACCATAGTGACAGTTTAGCATCTGTTGACAGACAAAATGAAAAGGCAGTATGAAATTTTAAGTCAAATCAATCCTGCTTAATATTGAAAAGCATTAGACTAAATACAAATTTCAAGCCTTTGATAATTAGAAGTAAACCAATATGATAGTTTTTAGTAAGTATGTCAAGATAAGTAAGTCTGTGGCCAATAAGTTCAGCAAAGTTCAGTTCATGACCAATGAAGGGTCCCTCAAATAAAATTCACAAAACAAAATATGGTATAAGTTCATACAAGCTGAATTCAAGGCTCATAATATAAAATAAGTAAATTTTGGGTGAAGAGAACAAACTTAATCATTTGAGATACAGTTCTAGGGATTTAGAATTCGTACTTGTAATTTAAATGGCATCACAACAAAAAACAGCATAATGAATTAAATAAAATTAAAAAATACAAATTTGGCAGAATGTCAAAATGCTAGTGAAGGTCCATGTACAACACATATCTCACAATATATTACCATAAAAGAGGTATTAAATGTGTAGAAATACAGTGAAAGACATGCAAAAAATAGAAATTTTTCACAAATATCTTTGTCAATAAATCTAATAAATACTGAGTACAAATTCAAGTATACTATTGCAGCCACATAAAGTCATAAACTATGGGAACCTTTCTTGAGAGCTAAAAGATGGCGCAAGTGAAGCACGGAATATTACCTCATCAAGGTAATCGACTTCAAGTTCGCCCGAATTATCAACATTCCCGAACATAAAACCCAATAGCTGATTACCTCCACCAGCCTCTTCATGTTCTTCTTCATCATCATCTACTAGCATAAATGAGAGAAAACAAATTTAGTTGGGCCTAACTACATATAGCTTGCAGCTAGACATTTTCACAACCTTTTAAGCAACTATCTTACGAACTCAAAATAGTCACAAAATTAAAATTTAGGCTTATCTTTCAAGACTTGAGAACAAACAGAAAACTAATCAAATAACAGAATTTTATAGCATAACATGCAATCCTAGGTGTTTTCTCTTCTAACGGCGACATTTTCTACACCAATTCAGATAGAACTTTACTTCTCAAACACTATATACCGCGAATTAAACTAATTATTAAGCTTCCTAAGATGAATTTCTCCATTTCTTATCCATGGAAGTAAAAATGTATCTACCTATTCAAATTTCATACTCAATTTTGAATGTAAATGCCACTTACAACAAGTTCTTCCCCAACAAATTAAATCATAATCAAGCGCGGTAAATTACCTGATTCTCGATCATCATGCGAACCGCTTGCCGGCTCTAAACTCATATCAACAAAAAATAGCTCCCAAGAACTCTTAAATCACAACCAACTCACCCTACGAAAAAAACAAAAAAAAAAAAACCATCAAAATCAAGAAAAAAATTGCATTAAATTATTCTCGCTAATAGAAAAATTCTAGCAATGAGATTGCTAGTTTAAAATCAATCATAACTTGAGTAATTATAACCAATAGTTCAATAATCCACCTTAGCAGAACCCTAAATATACTATAGTGACGATAAAATTAGCGATTAACACTAGTTTGTGAAATTGATATTCGATTATTGAAAGAAAAATAATCTTACCTAAGAAGCTGCTTCAATGGAGGAGAGAAAGCTCAGAAGCCGCTTCAATGGAGATTCAGAGTACGCTTCAATGGAGGGAGAAAGATGGGGGTAGCGATGCAGCGAAATCGTGAATAAACGAAGGGAGAAAGGGGAATTATGTAGAGATGGCAATATTAAGTTGATATCCGCTAACCCGCTCCACGTGCTTAAAATAAATGGACGAAAACCCGAATTAAATGGATGAGAAGCGGGTGACGGATGAGAAGCGGGTGATGGACCGGATCGGATGTGGATGATATTTTTTTCACCCGCTAACCATCCACCCATCCGTTTAACATATATTAAATTTTTAATCAAAGAATTTTACTAATAAAATATAGAATGTGCAAGAAAATTACTTGTTTTTTTTTGTTGCAAATTAATTTTTCAAACAATATGTTGTTATTGTTTCTTTTTTATTAATAAATTAAAAAAATTATTATATAAATAACCGAAAATTAAAGTTTATTTGAGTTTTTTTTTTCATTTTAGTATTCATCCATTTGTCATCCGCTCCACCCGTTTCATCCGTGGATGATGGACGGACGGATATGGATGATGGGTGAAGCGGATGACGGATGGATGTGGATGGAGCAATTAGGATAATGGATGGATGCGGGTGAAGCTCCACCCGATCCAAATCCGATCCATTGCCATCTCTAGAATTATGGTGGTAGGAGGAAAAATATTTATTAATAAGGATTTTTTTACCGTAGGAAATTTGTACGGTAAAAAATTTGTTAAATAAAGCTTTTTTTTTTTTATGCAAAGGAGGGCCAAGCCCTTAGTACAAACTAGAATTAAGCAACAAAACGTGGAGTAGTAACTCCTATAACATCCTCCCTGAGGGTGTCACGTATCTCAATCGGGGGGACATCAAAATACGTTATACCCTCAATTCGGACTATTCCTACATTAGCCAACCTATCCGCTACTTTATTACCTTCTCTATAACAATGAAACATTCTAATATTATTATCAAAGGAGCTGATGATGTTGCGGCAAACACTCAGCAGGTGGACACACTCTCCACCTAGAAGCTGGTCATTTTGAAGAGCCTCGATACACGCCTTATTGTCCATCTGAATGATTAGCTTGTTGATGCCTTGTTGTTGAGCCATACGAAGTCCCAATTCAAGAGCTAAGACCTCTGCTTTGTAAGCATTGAAATGCCCGAAATTCGCAGCAAAACCTCTGATAAAGTGACCTCTGTAATCTCGCAAAACCCCTCCACCTCCAGCTGGTCCAGGAGAGCCACGGGCTGCACCATCAGTGTTTAAAGCAGCCCAATCCAATGGAGGGGCAGTCCAGCTTATAAACACTTCTCTTTTTCTTAAGCTTGTCATCTCATTATCACCCATAAAAACTCTCCAAGTTTCTTCTATTTTTGCTTTCAGAAAAAGGCCTGTATCAATTGGAATTTCAGCATTTCTTCCAAATAAAGCACAATTACGCCACTTCCACATCCACCAAATAGTCAAGGCAAAACAAATGGGCCACTTTTCAGAAAAAATAAATCCATTTGCTTCAAGGTTGCGTGTTATCCAGCCCTGCAAATCTCCTTGATAGAAGGATGGGTAGCAAGCAGTTCCTCCAACACTCTTCCAAATGTTTCTTGCTATGGGACAGTCACGAAATAGATGAAGAAGAGTTTCATCAGTATTTTGAGCACATCTTGAGCATCTGGGATCATCAGTGAGGTGTCTTTGAAGTCTGTTAGCATTGCAGAGGACTCTATTATGAAGAATGAGCCAAAGAAAAACTCGGACTCGCTGCTGAACCGGGGAAGTCCAAGCCAATTCCCACTTTGGGTCTGTCATAATATGTTCATCATTTTTTATGATGGATAGAGCATATTTGATTGAAAAACCTCCTGTTTTCGAGCCTTTCCAGTAGCGGAGATCACCCAACTCTGTATTCTCCATCACTTTATGAGCAGCAACAAGTTTCAAAATGTGGGGTGGAAGTAAATGTGCAAATAAATCCCATCTCCACCCAGTCCCTGGTTCCCAAAGTTCTTCAACAATTGCCCCGTCCAAAGCTTCAGGAATCGAATCAATGATAAGGTCTCGCAAAGGCACATCTGTCGCCCAGCAATGGTCCCAAAAAAGGGTGCTTCTACCATCACCAATAGCCACTGCCGATCCCTTAGAGACCCACTTAGAATTTTCTGTAATTCCTTTCCAAACATTTGACATATTAGTGGAAGGCTCAAACATGTCAATGTCACATCTCCCTTTACAGTATTTGTGACAAAGAACTCTAGACCATAAGGAGTTTGGCTCCGCAAGCACCCTCCATCCCAATTTCGTAAGGAAAGCTGAATTTACTTGGTGAGCTGAGCGAATACCTATTCCTCCTTTATTACGTGGCAGCTGCAATGTGTCCCAAGAGAGGAGGTGAATTCTTGCTTTCTCTTCATCTCCTCCCCAAATGAAGCGTCTTACTTTTTTATCAATATTGTCACAAATAATCCGAGGAAGTTTTGCTGTTTGCATTGAGTAATTGGCAATGGTAGTGAGAGTGGATTTAGCCAAAGTAATCCTTCCCGCAAGAGAAAGATATTTAGTTTTCAACCCCATAAGTCTCCTGTCAATTTTTTCACACAAATGCGCATATGTTTCTTGCGTAACCCTGCTTGTGATCGTAGGCATTCCTAAATAAAGACCCAAATCTTGAGTTGCTTCCATCCCCAAGGCATTATTAATCACAAGCTGTTGCTGCTCTGATACATTATGAGAGTAGTAAACTCTTGATTTTTGGAGACTGACTTTTTGTCCAGAGGCTGTACAAAAGCGCTTCAAACAATCTCGAACCACCGTGGCTTGCTCTACTGATGCCTCTGCAAATAGAATTAGGTCGTCGGCGAAAAACAAATTAGACAGTAAAGGTCCACCTCTACTAGCATATATTGGTTTCCACCTCCCCTCAAAAATAGCCTCTTCAATTACTTGATTTAGACGTTCCATGCATAAAACGAATAAATATGGTGAAAGGGGGTCTCCCTGACGAATTCCGCGAGATGGGGAAAAAGGAGTCGTTTTTTCACCATTCCACAACACTTGCATTGTAAGAGAGGTAACACATTCCATTATTACATGTACCATAAGGCTCGGCAGATTCATCTCAGCTAAGGTGTCACGAATGAAATTCCATTTAAGGCGATCGTATGCCTTTTCGAAATCTATCTTGATGGTCATGTAGCCTTTGCCACTCCTCTTTCTCTTCATTGTGTGTAGCACTTCCTGTACGATGATTATGTTGTCAGTAATTTGGCGACCCGGGACAAAACTCGATTGGGCTTGAGAAATCATCAACGGCAGAAGAGGCTTCAAACGGTTTACTATGGCTTTAGTAATTATCTTGTAAGCTACGTTGCACAATCCTATGGGGCGAAATTGTGAAGGGAGCTCTGGATTTTCAACTTTAGGAATAAGGACTATAAATGTTTCATTTAAATTGTCTGGTAATCCTTTTCCTTCTAAAACCGATAGTGCCACATTATACACATTGGGAGCAACAATTTCCCAATTTTTTTGATAAAAAATTGCTTGAAAACCGTCAGGTCCGGGTGCCTTAAGAGATCCCATTTCTTTAATCACCAAGTCAATATCACTTCGAGTATAAGGTCTATTGAGCTTGTTGCGATCAGTAGTAGAAAATTCAGTGCACACACCAAAGGGAATGTCATAGGTTTCATCAGTTCCATCGTCCGTAAATAAGGTTTCGAAATACCCTGCTACCAAATTTTTAACTTGGTCCTTATCATGAGTCCATTGACCATCTTGTTGCTTAATAGCCACTATTTTATTTTTCCACCTTCGAATGATTGTGCTTAGATGAAAGAATGTCGTGTTGCGATCACCATGTTGCAACCAATCAACTCTAGCTTTTTGATACCAGAGTAATTCCTCCTGTTGAAGCACTTCATCCAGCTCCTTACGCAATTTTGCCTCTAATTTAATCAATCCCGAGTCTCGTCTAGTTGCCAAAGCAGATTGTACACCTTCAATTCTTGCCATTAGCCTTCGTTTTTCACGAAAAATATTATGGAAGATCTCCTTATTCCAGTTTTGAAGGTCGTCCGACAGAGATCGCAAAAGAGGAACAAGGGGGGTAGAAGAGTTCCATTTATCATGAAGAAAATCAGTGAATTTTTCGTGGGCCATTCAAGCTGCTTGAAAGCGGAATGGGCGGTTCACAGATTCAAGCGGAATGGGCGGTTCACAGTTAAATAAAGCTTTTTAAATGTATTATACTTGTAAGTAGTACTCGTATTTTTTTTTTTTCAAAAACAACCTTTTAAATTTTTTTTTGCAAAATGAAAACCCAAAAATAATTTTTTTTGTAAGTTAAAACCTGTAGCCGAAATCTAGCCGTTAACAAACATAATTATGTATGGGTTTCATTTTGAAAAAAAAAAATTAAAAGGTTGTTTTTGATTAAAAAAAAAGAAAGAAATACACTTATAGAGTTTTATGTAACAAATTTTCCAAAAAAAAAAAAATTAAACCTTTGTCTTAAAAGAAAACTATTGTATATTCGGGGTTATTTGCTCATCAATTTTTGTTTTTTTATTAAATGAACAAACAAATTCTAGCATGGATCGAGTACTCGTACCGTTAGCACCAGTTCAGGTATCCGATAACCAATAACACTAAAAATTATCCATTAACCAAACCGATAACTTCCGGTACTCAAACTTTGGGTACCCCGATTTTCAGATCTGTTATTGGGTACCCAATATGATATCCAATAATGAAAATTTAGACTTTGTGATATAGTTATTATGATATCAACCAACACTAATATCATATATTCATGAGTATCATGACCAAATTCCTTATAATATTACTAATCTTTTGAATTATGAAGTGATAATAAAGTAATGTAAGAGTTTAAATTTTGGGCTTGTTCCTTCAACTTAATTTCAGTTTAGTTCAGTTTGATTTCTAATTTCCTTCTCTCATAAACAATTCATTTCAGCTCATCTTAGCTCAGCTCCAATCAGTTCAGCTCAGCTGAGTTCTAATTTCTAGGCGTTTCATGTGAAACCGCCCAAAAAATGCCCTAGGAGCGTTTTCCTTGGTTATTGGAGGCACATTAGCCCATCGGTTTGCCGTCCTCCGGTATTGATA